ATCGAATAGAATTCGACTGGAGATGCTGTCGAATCGAATCAAATTGAATTGAATCGAGAAGCGTGTATTTGGTTTGTTTCTGTGGATTAGAAATCAATTGAAAAAAAAACAAAATGAAAGGATCAAAAAGACATTTTGAAATATACTGTTTCATACTTTTGATGACACGAATTAATTTGATTTAATAATGATACATGAAACGGATAATTGGCTTAAATGAATTGCATAGATATAAAAGAAAAGAATACTAAATTAGAAGTTGTAAAAAAGTCCGTCTAATTATTCTAAATAGAAGTGTTGGTTGTAGATGTGTAACCAAATGACGCAGGCGTATATTATAACCAAAATGTTGTTTGATAGATTTATCACTCTTTTGATCAATAATTATTTACAACCTCATAACAATCAGTTCTTATGATAAGTTTTGAAGAAAAATATATTTTAATTTTTTTGAACGATAGAGTGTCATAAACAAAAGAAAACAGATTTATGATAAGGCCGAGATTTCTGAGTGAGTTCTGCTGATTAGTCTTCTATTAAAACAAACTTTAATCCTTTTAGTATGAAGTATTCTGGTTAAGTTTTGCATCGATCAGTTTTTGCTCGTACAATCTTGAAAGATGCATCGTGTTCATGAAATCTCGATTTTTCAAGTATTAATTATTATCCTTATTCTCGTATTCGTCAATATCGGACTTTTACGAGTCATTTTATTTCATACAATCTATTATAGTTTTTTGTTTTTAAAAAGCTAACTAAGATTTCAATTTATATGACCAGATCAAATAAAGAAAAGGTGATTAAAACTGGATAATAGAAAAGTAAAGTTTGCCCAGAAAAAATCAGTATATATGTAGTATATAACGTGTGCAAAAACAAGAACATCTTTGGGTGTGTATGCGGGTGTTGATGGACAATTGAATACCCACACCTACACCCGCATCCACCGTTTTCACCAGATCTTGCACCATGTGGTTTTTGGCTCAATGAATTATATCAAGCGCAATTTAACTGATCAAACAAATAAAAAATTATTGGCTCGTCCGATTTCCAAACTAGTTAAAAATAGTATAGAAGAAGAGTTTAAAAAAACTTTTGACAAATTATTAGAAAGGATGGAACTTTAGAGAAATAATTATCGCGACTATTTGGAACATTTAATAAAATAAAATAAAATGAAAACTATCTCTTTTTTTTAATATTTTTATTTAATGTTATCAGAACTTTTGGGTAGCTGTAAATAAATTCATTTCATCCGAGTGACGAACTTGTGTAGTTAAGGCATTATCTTGTCTTTTTATTCTTGCTTGCATCCAAAACTGTGGTACGAAAGCAAGAAGATATAGAAAAGGCATAGCCGCAGCAATGTACTGTGGAACAGTTTTATCTTTCACCACCCATATACTGGAAAAGACGATAAGTAATATACTACAAATAAGAAACCACAACGGCCAAAGAATATTCGAATGTTGAGGAGCTGCTGATCGTCGTATAAAGAGATAGAAGGCAACAATAGTATGTAATAAACCATACAACGAAAGAAATCCAAACATTCCAAAAGCGCCAATTACATGAAGACGACGATCATCATCTAAACTCACGATAGCCATAATTAGAAGAAATACAGCTGAGACAAGGGCAATAGCATGAATAATATATAGAATAGTGCGATGAATGATAAATTGAGAGTGACAAAGAAATTGCAGTCGACCAATAAGAATTAATAATAATTGTAAAGATAAAATGACAAAACCAGAAAGAAAATATTTATAAGCAGGACCAATTCCAAGTAGAGAGATTTGCGGAAAGTCTCCTCCTGGTCGAGGGTTGTGTAATACTTGGCTGCACACCACTAATGTTAGAATAAATGTGATGATGGCTGTGAATGGTAAAATAGGTAAAGACCAATACCAGATCATCGATGCAATTCGAGTCATTTTATCTCACTTAACAAATCTGAAGAAACGAGTGCATATGTTAGCTCAATAAAAAGAAAAGTCATCAAACTGCACATAATATGACTGGTACGTCTACTCTTATAACGCTATGAAAATAATGCTACAAGGACACTTTTTTTTAATCTTATCTTATCGCAGTACAGGACTCATTAAATAGTTTGCATAATAATGACAAGACAGTTACGTTGGTTCTCTTGCTATTATAGAATTGATATTCGTCACCTGGCTTCGATGAAGAGGCAGTTGTTTTAACAATATTCTTATTCATGCTTGCTTATCCAAAAAAAATAATGCAATAGCAAAAATATTATTACCCCATTCTGTCAATATCTGTGCTGCCATGATAACAGCACAAACCAGGTTCTTTTCTTTTCCTCTACAAGAACGTGTATGTTAAGCAAGTAGCATTTCATCGCATTACAGTACAAGACAGAGTATTTACCAGAGATGGGATCGGTTCGATTTGAAGTTTTTAAAATGTGAATCGGTTCGGTGCAGCTCGAGGAAAATGAAGGTGTGGGCGTAGGTGGGGATGTGGTTCGTTTTCTCACCCGCACCCGCACACACACTGCAGACCCACACCCACACCCTGCTTTCTACAATTTAAATATTCATCTGCATAACATCCTACAAAGGCACGTAACATATTTTGTTCTCCCTCATTGTCGCAGATCTCGGCTGGATTTCATTTGCCAATGTATTTTAAGTGGTATTCAAAATCCATCGTCCATTAGTTTTTCCTTAAGATCGATAGTTGGATTCGGCAATCGTGTTTTTGATGAATTGAAATTGAACAATATCGAACATTTACTGCGATCGTTCACACTGGTGCATGCGACTGAGCAATAAATCAATATTGTTGTCCAATATTTGAGCCATTTAGTGAATTTTCGTTCATTGACTATCATCCTCGATCCAGAATGCTCAGAGGGAAAATTTCTAGCCACAATCTTGAACACAAATATGCTCTCGCTCATATATTTCAAAATTGATTACATAGAAGCTCGGAATAGTCACTATTTTCATCGTAGAAATTTTGGTGAAGATTGTTCAGTCGTCTTGAATGTTCGGAACTTTGTATTCAGGGTTCCGATTTGGGTGTGGGGTGGGTGTGGGTGTTGGTTCGGATGTGCTGGTAGATCAGAAGAACACCCACACCCCACACCAAGATCCACACCCTTGTCATGTTTAAAACAATTCTAAGTTCCATTTACGAACTGCATCGGACAACCGTGTGACGGGATGTTCTATAGGTTCGCAATTTTTAATGGTTTTCAGACTTTCACTAAATGATTCTGTTCTGAAGCCGAGTATATGCACTGTAGTTCACACTCCTTAAACTTTTCTTTATCAACTCATGCACATCTCATTCTATTCAAAACATGTTCGGCATCATCAAATCTGTTACCAACTTCTTCAATGATTCGCTAAGCGAATATCTAGTACTCAGCAAGAAAAAACGTCTGTTGTCGTTGGTAAATTACAGGTCTGTTTTTGTAAGGCACACTTTATTTCACTAAAAGTATATTAATTGTTCGACAGCAGTTGATCTTCTCCTAACATAAATGATACAAGTTTCTGTTACTTGATTTTTTTCGTTTAATATACTTACTTTTGATATATTTTAAACTTGAAAGTTAGCCAAGCAACTTTTTCTGAGAGAGATAAATTTTCAGTACAAATCCTAAATTAATATTCTTCATCGAATCTAAGAAAAGTTTTAACAAACACAACTAGTTTCGAGAGGAGTCATTGATTGTTCGTTTCCCAAAGCAAAATGGTTTCACAATTCCTATTATATATTGTCATTTCGAGACAGACTACATTTATTGAGAAACAAACGTCT